TCCGTATGTCCAGAGCTATATCTCGGACACCCATTGACGGATTTCATTCAAACTTTACATGAAGACAATACATAATGTCTTGCATATGCACGTCAAGTTACTTTATGATCGGAGCAAAAATAGCCGACTGATACGTTTCCGCAGCAGTTTCTCGGAGATGACCTGGCCGATTCGGATCAAAGTTGGTATGATGATCATACATATTGGGTTGTAGGTGCACGTCATTTTTTTTTCGTGATTCAAACAAATATGGCCGCCTGGTGGCCATGAACGTTTCTGTTTAAATTTTGTACAAAGATAGTATACCAAGGGATACATTTGTACCAACATTATTTTTGTGATTCGATTCAATATGGCTGACCGACGCCCAAATTCCCTGTAAAAGCATTAAATCGTCATTCTTTACATGTCCAGAGCTGTTTCTCAGAGATGACTGGGCCAATTTAGATCAAAGTTGGTATGATGATCATACATATTGGGTTATAGTTGCATGTCATATTTTTTCTGTGATTCAAGCCAATATGGCTGACTGGTGGCCATTTTGTTTTTCATGATACCGATGCCTACTTTCCAATGAATGCAATGAACATTTCTGTTTAAATTTTGTACAAAGACAGTATACCAAGATACATCAACATGAGCATTATTTTTGTAATTAGATTCAATATGACTGCCCAATGTTCAATTCTTGTGTAAAAGCACTAAATCATATTTTTTTTTACAAATCCATCTCCTATTAATGGTTTCAATCTAATCTCAATGACTTCATCAGCATCAAATTGATATGTCAGATTACAAAAGTTTGGACGGGGACTGTGTCATTAACAATGACTTGTTATTAGCAAAGCGGGTTCTGTCCCACCTAATAGACAGACTCGTATGCATGCCGAGAGCTCGCCAAGAGTAAGGAGACATAGTGCAATTTTTTGCCCATTTTTTCTTATCCAATTGTCCTAACATTATGGTTAAATAGGTCAAGAGGGACAGTGGGAGAATGACTGGTGAAAATGGGAGACTATTTGAGGGGGAAAAACAACTATCCTGGCTCTCTTATCAAAGATCTCTGCAACCAATTGCGTCCAAGTTCAATTAAGTGTGTGATATACATAAGTTACAATCACATATTGTGGAGCCTATTGGCTGAGATAGCTCAGCTGTTAGCAAGGTACATTTCGATTACATAATTGAAGATATCACAAATCTGAGAGAGATCCATATGTTCATTTTCAAAGCAATCAGACTTTTGGTTTTCAAGACAAAATTGAAAATATAACTTATTTGATAAAAAGAAATTATAAAAATAATCACTGACAAAGTCAACCGTGGAGATAAAAAATATTTTGGTCAAAAAACAGTTTTGTGTAGGTGGCAAACTCTGATCTTTGTTGTAGCATCCTAAGAAAACAACAAATTGTTGATTTATTTCAATGAAGTTTGTGAGTATTAGAAGACTTCTAAGAACATTGAAGATAATAAAATGCAACTTATTCATCACATGTCACCAAGCATGATTTTGAGACGTGAAGAAATAATGTCATTATAGCTACCATAGTAAAAATGCAAAATTTCACCATCTTCCATACTTATCAGGTGACTCCATTTTTTTTTTATTCTCAGTTTTCTGATGTCATTAATCGTAATCAAAGCATGAACAAAAGGACGTATAATCTTTTAATTGGCTAAAATGGCTAAAATCTTCATCAAAAGAATACTGTTTACATTTTTGCCAACAGTAAGGTACCTATTTAAACATGCTCCAAGCAATCCACAAAATTTTGTCATGTGGAGATAAATATCACCATTTGTTGGACCTTTCTTTCCAATCCCATAATATTAACATACAATATTTGACGAGCCCGTCCACAAACAGTATATACGTGCAGGTCTACCAGACAAGTTTCAAGTTTTTCCGAAACCTTAGAAAGTTGCACACTCTGGAGTAAAAAACAATCTAATTACGTGTGTATGCGTGCATGACGGGGTGTGATTTAGCTGCTTAAATGTTTGATAGTTCATCAGAAAACCAAATAAATTGCAAGAGGCAGAAATCAGCTTCCCATTCTTGTCCAGAAAAAACGACTGATGTCGCTGTTACTCAAAACTTGTCTATTGCATTGCATCTCTAATATGTTCTGGTCTCCCATTAAAAGGCACATCATACCACCCATGTATTATGTTTTAATTTGTAGTGTACATATGTACAATGTATTTACATTATACACTCAAACGTTATTTAATATTTCAAATCTACTTTACATAGCAATGCTTACTGATATAAAAGCATGGAATCGTGCGTATATTAGTTGTGGGTCCCATACGACACAAGATCTCCAATAGAAGCACATGTAAACCAATTATTTCCATGTATTACACACTTAATCATTGAAATATGACTTTATTTTGAACATAGACTGACCTCTGGTATTTATTACACACATGGACTACTAATAGAGCTAATACAATAATTGATTTCAAACAGGGATATCAAATTATATGAAATATTTTCTATTAAAAAAAAAAAAAAAACTGAATGGCTGAAGATAATCTTTGTTGTTACCGGATAAAATTTTGAGGGTAATCAGCAAATGCAAGTGGCCGTGTGCAATACACCATTAATGTAAACAAAATGTACCAGCAAAAAGTCCTACAGGTAAAGTATGAATGTAGATCAAGTACATTGTGTATCCATCAGAATTCCATCATCTGTTCACTGTCCACTATAACTTCATTATTAAATTTTGCTGCAAAGAAATAAAGAGTCCAGTATTATCATCTGAAACATGAAATGGCCAAATTCTTCTTTGTTTTTCAATGTACACAAAGGTCACGTTTGATAATCGTTGTACGAGTGAACAGGAAACCTTTTCCATTTCCACAAATTAGAACAACTGTGATTGGTTTATATTGAGGTGGCTCATTTGAACTACCTCCTTGAATACAGAAGATGCTTCCCAAGCAAGATTAAATGGTTCAAACTATTTTTTTTTATCATAAACCCCAAAATTATTCTGCATGTCCCCCACACTTGTCTTGAAAATCTGCCCAAAAAATGCTCTACTACTCTGCACTCTTACATAAGGTGTCTCAAAGTTTTGTTTTTGCTTCTAAGACTGGTTAAGGCATATTAAAATCCTGATGTGACTCAAAACATTTTTATACTTACACTTAGCTGGTATAGACTGTGCTGCACCAACCAAGGTATCCTTCAACTCGCACTGGGTATTGATATCTGCGTTATTACAGATCACACTGCCTTGAATTGTACACCTAGCAGGTAAATAAAATATACAGAGATACAGTACAGAATATTTGTGCAAAGACTTGTCTTGGATATTCACTCACTTATCTTATTACTATTTTCACAGATTTAGATATTTTCAGCAATATTAAAAACATAAAATTGCTTCTAGTTCGTTTTATCTTGCCATTATCGAACTGAGAAGCAGTGTGCCCTCTGACTTTCATTTTAACTAAGGATCTGCTTAAAATCAGTTCTGTTAGTGGGCACACTGTTCAATGGACTGGCAAAGTTGGGACTTCTTTTTTGTTTCACGAAAACTAATGTGACCGTGAAAGAAATCCCGACTGGACGCATCTGCGGGCATTTGACTGTTATTAATTATTCATGATGTCATTGATTATTCATGAGTGGGTGTGTCAACATGAACTTTTAAAGGTTGGGTCACAATGCAAATGGCGGATGACTCGCTGAAACATGCAAATGTTCTGCTGCTAGTCGTATCTTGTAGTTTAGAACTGAAAATGTAGCTGACACGGGATAAACTGTTGTAATGTAATGTAGCGTAGTGTAGGTTATAATTACGGTGGAGTTTAGTTATTTCACTCTCAACAAGTCATTGTTAATGACACAGTCCCTGTCCAAAATTTTGTGATCTGACATATCAATTTGATGCTGATGAAGTTATTGAGATTAGATTGAAATCATTAATAGGAGATGGATTTGTAAAAAATTATGATTTAGTGTTTTTACACAAGAATTGAACATTGGGCAGTCATATTGAATCAAATTACATGTTGATGTATCTATTGGTATACTATCTTTGTACAAAATTTAAAGAGAAACGTTCATTGCATTCAAGAGAAAGTAGCATGGGTACCATGAAAAACAAAATGGACGCCAGTCGGCCATATTTGTTCGAATCACGAAAAAAAAAATGACGTGCACCTACAACCCAATATGTATGATCACCATACCAACTTTGATCAAAATCTGCCCAGTCATCTCTGAGAAACTGCTGCGGACACGTTTAGGTATCAGAAATAGCAAATTTTACATCCAAAATGGACGCCAGTCGGCCATTTTTGCTCCGATCATAAAGTAACTTGACGTGCATATGTAAGACATTATGTATTGTCTTCATGTAAAGTTTGAATGAAATCGGTCAATGGGTGTCCGAGATAAAGCTTTGGATGTACAGATGGACATACAGACGGAACAAACCCAAATTAATAGTCCCTGTTTTCGGACTTCGTTGACCGGGGACTAAAAATGACAACGGAAATATGATTCAAACATTGCAGCAGCAAGAACTTTTAATTAGCATAATCACCGGAGTGATTTCGCTCCGGTTTTCACAACACAGGGAGGTCGCCTGCAGATGCGTCCAGTCAGGATTTCCTTCACGGCCACGCTAGTTTTCGTGATCAGGCTAAAAAGGCTAAACTGACAATTAATTTTTTTTAAACAAAAAAGAAGTCTCCGACTTTGCTAGTCTAACTGTTCAGCAGTAAGTAATAAAACAGAACTGGACTTAATATAGTGATAATAATTAACAGTATTGTATAGTTGGTGATGTACATGTGCCTATCATTCGCATGTCAGGGATAGATTACGTAATTTGGGGGGGGGGGTGGCCAAAAAACTTAACTTTTGTTATTTGTATAAATCTCATCATGATTCTAATATAACAGAGCTTCGATCAATTTCACTTTTTCTCAAAAAAAAAATTCTATGACACTGGAACTATATTGTAGTATCCTTACCCATCTGATATTGTAACATGGTCCATTATGATAGACGATGAAATTCGCACTTTCTCACCAATTTTACAATGTTTACCAATAATAGATTTCTTTACAGAGACTTTTTCTGTTAAGTTAGACCCTTCTCCAATCATACAATCATGCCCAATCTGAAAACAATACAGTTTGAAATGTTACAATCACCTCGCTGCCTCATTTTAATAATTTTCATGAAACGAGAAACAGAGATTTTTTTTTGCCTGGCCTAAGTAATTTCACGTTTTTAGACATTTTAATGTTCGTAGAATACCGAGGTTGCAACTTTGAATACTTTACATACTCCTCTCACCTGTGATTTATTCTTGACGACAGCCGCACTGTGTATCAGTGGCTCTTCTGCATCTAACAGCAAAGAACTGATCTGCTTTGAAATCTAAAAAAAAAAAAATGTTATTACAGCAAAACCATATGAACAGTTACAGGGAGAAAAGAATAAACAAATAAAATTTTGCACTGTGTATCCTGTCTGCTGAGGTCAACAACAATTGGGTATATATAAAGTTTTGGTTCCCACGGTAGACTGAAAACAGTATTAGCTCTACTGGAAACGCATCCAAAATCCAAGAATTAAGTTTACTGTATACTGGATTATTAAATACTAAAGACATACCTCTGTCATTTATATATAGTGTATGCACAACTATTATAGTCAATACGGTACTTACATTTCTATTGGCTTCTATATATGCTGGCAATGTATTCACACGAAGACAGTGTCCACTCTGCATAGTGTAGGCATAGCAACGGATGATGTCGTTATGGTAACAGTCTGCCATATCTCCTGTATGATCATTCCACGTAGACATATCATGTGTCAATGCTGTCAGCTCATCTTCTTTACAAAAACTAAACACATCTAGAAAAGAAAGTTTTTTTTAGCATTTTATGACAACATTTTTGGTTGATACATTAGACCATACTGTTTCAGATTAATAATAATACTTATCCCCTTGAACACCAACATTTTTGCCCCAAAATGTTGACACAAAAATTTAGCCTGTTATCATGTATTTTTTGTGAAAATAGTTTTGGATGAAACTGACATAATTTTCTCTTGGCTACAGAAATAAAAAAAAAAAAAAATGATTTTATTTTGTGAATTGTGTCAAAATTTGAATTTGGCACTCAATTGTATGGGTTCAAGTTGCACCCTGAGATAAATTCATCAGTTTCAGTGATTTCATGACTATTATTAGAAATATCAATAAAATAAATATGCACAAAATGCTGGAAATAATTCAGAAATTGGTTTTGTCCAGATTTATTGTGGGTCAAAGGAATTCAAGACTAAGGTGATTTCCTCCTTGCAATTCAACATGTGTTGGAAAGCCGTTATTAAATACTGTTATCAAATATTCACTCATTTGCATTCCAAGCCTTCGTTTTGGTTCCAAAGGATTTGCTGCAGCCATGATACATTCTATCAATGCGAAAGCAAGCCTTTAACCGCAAACTGGCAGCCATGGTTGCCACTTGATAAGAGTGAATTCCAACATTTAACTGTGATGATAACAACTAATTTGACAAGGGTCACATTATATAGAAATTCATCATTCAAAAAGTTACATCTATCAAAACATTCAGGGACACTACTAACCTTGTGGCTGTTCATCAGGTTCCGGTATTACAGACATATCTGCCAACTTTTCATCTACTTTTTTGGGTTTAGAAAACTGTTTTTTCACCAAATATGGCAAAAGTTCACCTTTGATGGTTGAAATAGACCTGTAATTAAACATTTTTATTGAAGAAACTGTACGAATTATTGAGCTCACATTTTTGTCATAATTTGCAATCTACGTACTGTAACACCAATAATGCACCTATTTTTATGAAATAGTGAATTTGCGAGGGTGTACTGATTTGCTATAAAAAATATTATATCTTAATTTAATGTTTCTGAGCAAAAATTTCAGTTATTTTGATGAAAATTATTAATATTTAAAAAACCTACTTACTTTTTTTCGCACAAGAAATCAACAACCCATTTTTTCATAATATAGAGATGACCGTCCAGTAATTTATTATGTATTCTGATTCGTGGATGCCTGTAATGTACACAATAGAGCATTATCTTGACCGCTATGTTCTACTCGTCAACTCATATTGTCAGTTTTCACATGCAATGAACAAAATTACCATTTTCAAGGAGCATAAACAAAATATAAAATCTAAAACGAAAAAGACATCTGTGGCAGAAAGTCAAATTAAAGATCACTGGACACTGTGAAATTTGATACTGTTACTTCTTGCTGGAATCCATGAATGAAAAAGTGATTGAATTCATTACAGTTCCTTACTGTATAGTTCATTACTACTGTACGTATCGTATTTACTCTATTAGTGGCACATACACTCAAATATGTAAATGACAGAGGTGTCTAACACAATAAGTTGTATTTTAAAGATTCAGCATACAATAAAAGCAATTTTTGGTTTATGTACGCTTCTATTAGGAATGCACTTCTAATAGAGTAAATATGGTATAATTGAGGGTGTGATGGTCTAAAAAAATTATTTATTTAGATCACTGTGGTGGGGGCTCTGTATATGTATGCAAAGTATGATTTAGCCCACAGAGGGCGCTGTATACATAATTTCACTTACTTTTTTAATAATTTAAGTCTGACAGTTAAAGTATCTTCAAGATCAGCCTCTGATGCCAGAATTAAGACATGTTTTCCTTTTTTGTCCAAACCGACAAGATCTTGCTGGACTGAAAAAAGGCGAAAAGATTACTGTGAAAAAATGCTTGATTAGTACTTGAAATTTCTTTTTTATTTTTGAATAGAAGTTTGAAGCTATCAAACAAAGTAGTTTTATCCATCACTGATTTATTAGTGGGGAGGGAGGGGGAGTAAACTAGTTTTCTAAATTTACACAACACATGAGAAAGTGTCTCATTCTAAAGATAAGAACAATACTGTTGTAACAATGTAATTACAAACAGTTGCTCAGTGTTTCCTCTAGTTTCTATTTTGCACAAATTTTCCTAGTGAGAGAACCAAATTTCTCAGTGAAATAGGACAAACTGAAAAAAAACTTACATGGTGTATTTTAATTTCATGCTTTTTGTATTCAAATACACAGCCTGATTCAAGGTGGTTTTTTTGAAGTGCAATTACAAAATTCCTTAGTGCTAATTTTGCTTAGAGGGAACCCTGCTCTATTAAAATACAAAGTTGATTAATTTTGAATAATTCTTCAATAAATTTATTGCCAAGCTATCTATGCAGTGTTAGTCAAATCATGGCGCTGCATATTCAAATTGGATGCAAGGATCAACCAATCAAAAAGGGGTAGAGCACTTTAGCAATAATATCTAATATTTGAATCTCACACAATGTAAATATAATCTAATATCTACCTTGTTTTCGTTTTGATTTGACACCGGGTACTGTAATATTATCAGTCGACTCTTCCGGTATATTCGATAACAACATTGTAATAGTCGAATCGTATGTTCTATGTACATCTGCTATGTGGTGCAATGAGACGTTGGTAACCAAATCACAACTCAATACTATGATGTCTGTCTGGAAATGAAAACATTATTAATATGATCCTGTCATGATTAATTACATTTCATGCTAATAATGAAGTACAACTTCTCGTACAAGATCAGTAAATGTCTTTCCAATAATACAGCAAAAAATGTAAACACAGTGATAGATATTCTAGACTGTCTGTTCCATACAAGGAAACTTGCACACGTAAGTTCAGTTATTTATCGATGTGATACAGATGTCAGTGCCTAGTGTTCTTGTCACTGTACACATCTTTTTTTAAACAAATTCTGTCAGAATTTTAGAAAAGATGAAAGAAAAATTTAGTTTTCATGATAAATCACAAATTTGATGACAATTTAAGAATAAAAATAAATAGCCTCCTGTGTAATATGGTCTAATTTAGAAAACCATGGTTTTATTATAACAAATAAAACTGGGATAGCAATTATTTTTTTAATAAAACCAGGTGGGATAGAATTGTGTGATGCCTAATGATGCTTAAAACAAATTTTTAGAAAAATATAGAAACATACTCCATGTTAGATGGTAAAATTACAAGAAATGCTCCAAATGCATACTTCCTGGTGACTCACCTTTATTTTATCTTTGATATATCTGAGAGAGTCTGCCGTACCCCAGTCTTCGTCTGTCGGTATACTAACGATATCTAGGTTTAGTTTAGTGTTATACGCCAATGCATTCTTTATATCGGTACATGCTGATTCTAAACAAATAAGAATGGCGTCTGGATCGAAAAAGAAAATAAATAATTTTATTTTATCAATTTTATCAAAAAAGTATGATATCGTGATGATTTGGAGATAAACACTTAATGTAGATTACAAATCAAAAGTAAAGTTTAGAAAACTGAATTGTTGTGGAAGAGCACGGAAGTAAAATCTATACAATTATGTATAATGTAAAACAATTGGGAGAATGGAAAATAGGGAAAACAAACTTATGCAGTTAAAATTTTTCTTGTTTTTTTTAACACCCCCCCCCCATTTTCAATTACGAAATGGTGATAGGGGGCGGTGATTGGTTGTCTGCAACACAGACCTGAGTATTATTAATTATGTAATCATATAAAGGAGAAGGCAAAAGCACACATATTGGTACTATATGGGATGATCATAATAAATGGGTAGTCCGTGACGATCCATCATAGATACACACTGTACGGCTGATGAAATGCCCAGTAATACCTTGACGTTGGAAAATAGTATGTTACAGATCGCCTTACCTTCAAACCCAGCTCTTTCTAGTAGATTAACTGGATACCAAATCAGCGGTTTATTCCCGATGGGTAGAAGTGCTTTAGGTGTACTGGAAGTCAAATCTAACATTCGGGAGCCTCGACCAGCTGCTAAGATCACGGCCTGAAACTCCATGATATTGGTGACGACGGTTTGCGATCGCGATCTGGAATTTTGTCGAGTCACTGAAATTATTAAATGAAACGGCCTTTTTTCGCTGAAATATAACCCTATAATTTTGGTTTATGTGGCAATTAGGCGTCAATCGGATAGATGCAGTTGTTGTAAGACCCATACACACTGGTACTGAGAGCTCATGCCGTAAAACCGGAAAAGCTCAACAGCTGTATTGCAATTGTTGTCGTTGGTGGCGCATGACGGCGAATCCCCTCGGGTGATCCTCGGTACAAAACAAGAATCTGTAAGTGGTTATGAAAACTAGATGGAAAGGATGGCAAAGCAACGTTGCACAATAATAATAAGTTTTCTACTCACAAATTCAAATTTGCTAATCGCTACCTGGAAACAAATTTCTGCCAAATTTTGTTTTTGTATTTTGTTTTAAAATGTTTTTTTCTCAAGTTTTGATTGGTTGAATTAAATTGTCAAAAGAAGTCGAAATTAGTTATATTTTTGACCCCTCACGTCCAACATTTTTCAAGAACTGAACTAAGAGGGTCTTTTAAAAAACAAATATAACCGTCCTTCATTTTTGTCCATGCCCTGGGTACGGGGGATGTTACTTACAGGTTATTTGCGGCTAATATATCTCTATATCTCGAAGATAATACTATATTATCCTGTTCAGATAATTATTTTTATATTGTTTTTTTTTTCTCATATTTTCTCCCATCATTCAATTGTAAGTCTGGGCGCTATTCTTCAGAAATTTATCGACTAAACTTATTCCAATTTGGCATGGGAGTAATACATCCACTGAAATATACCATTCCAATAAATCGCGCCCTCTATTAATGAAGCGTTTCTGTGACGTCAAAATGACGTATATAAGTGAAGGCAACGTCGTTGAAACCGACCGCTATGTTTGGCTGTGCTGTCGTAAAATGTGAAATAATTTTCATTGATATGGTCTCGTCACTAGAGGGCGCGATTGTATTTATAGGAAATGTGAATAAAGTGAAGTAAATCAAAATATTCTCTTTCCACCTTATCACTTGGAAACATCAGGAAGTACGAAATGGATTCCCACATGTATGGAGATGATAATCGTGTATTTGTCATACAAAACAACAGACGGTATCATAACACACATGGAAAGCTCTAATGTAATGTCGAGCATTCACATGTGGAAAACAGATAACCTACTCAAGTTGAATTCTGACAAGACAGCGCTGTTTTACTTCGGGTGACCTCACAATCTGCAGTACAACTACAAATATGCCTACTAAAACAGCAACGAATCTTAGGATAGTGACATTCACGTGAGCACAAAGAATCGCGTATACACGTCTGCAAAATCTGTATATTTCCTCATCAGAGATGTTAGCAGAATTCAATAGTATCTCACAGTTGAAACACGTCGTGTCGTGGTCCATGCATGTGTATCAATTTAGTCATGGCATCTCGTGTTTCAGAAATTAATTTAAATTGACTGCACAAATATCTTTAATAATCATGCATTTAAAAACGATGTGCTGAGATTGTGGAATAAGCTTAATTAAGCAATGTGACCGATCTTTTTTTTTTTAAAAAAACAAACAAACACAATTTTATAGATTTTCAGAAGTCCCGGATTTATGGGGCTATAAAAATTATTTCGTCGTATCTTTACCACTTACCATATATATCAGATTTCGTAATCCAAGAATATGCACAGGGTGTACTTCTGTATTTCACACGCGTTAAAGCGGGGGAGTCGTCACCTGCGCATGCGTCAAATGAGAAGATAACTCTAGTGTATGTACGAAATTATGTAAAAAAATAATTTAATAATTATGGGAATATCTTGGAAAACTGACCATCAACTTTGTTATATACTTTTATTTTATTCAAAAATTAATATTGAAAATACAAAGTGAAACACAGAATTATATATAAATATGTATTACGTTATACCATGCCATATATATGTTCATATCATAACGTGTAAGATAATATTTATTTTTAGAATTATATGATTCTTGTAGAACATATATGTTAGCAACATGATTCATATTAACATAAAATTTAAAATAAACATAAACATAAATACGATTTTTATTTTGATTATAATTTGTCAATTCAAAATTTTGATTCCCATTATTATACCAAAAATGATTGGTTCGTACTTAATGCAGGATGAAATAATAGCCCACACATACAAGATTAGTAATCACTCAGTACTCCGGACACTGTAACCCCGGAGTCATCCACTGGTACGCCGGGTATAGCCTATCGAACACCGAAAGTCTGGAAACCAACCATAGCACACACACGTATAAAACATGCCACGCATAGACAGAATGAGAAACACTCCCACCCCGGCATAGCAACAACCGCTATGCTCATCGCAAATAGTCCACCATTCGCTGAATACATCACATATTATGCTTCCTTGTCCCAGCACTCTCCACGCAAGATGGCGTTTCTTCAACCTGAAATCACTGCGCTAGGAACTCTGGGATGGAGAGTGCGTCCTCAGATGTCAGGAAAATCGATCATGATCGAACAAGGCATCCATTTTCGTTCGTTTTGCGGTATTGTAAAAAAGTAACAATTATAAAAAAAATTCAATAACAAAACTCCAGTCATATATACTATATAAATATGATATCAGTTATTTAGATACACACTCATACTGTACATATTATATCACATACTGTATACCAATCTACGAAACCCGGTGCTCTGTACGCTCTTTTCATAAGTCTAGCGCCCTCGCCCTCCGTTATCAGAATGAGTACAGATCGAAACTGGACAGCGCACATCGACATCAGAAGAAGAAAACAATGCTCCATGTATTTACAGATTACCATGGAGACCCTACAGTGTATTATATTACATAACATGGCAGTATAAAAATTGTAAAGTGTTTTTTGGTGGGATTTAGTAGGCAGTATAAAAGCTGCATATAGTTATGATGTCAGCGGGGGATTTAGTGAAAGCTTGTTAATTATTTTTGTAACAATCCACGTAATTGCGAAATCCGCTCTATTACAAAATAGAAAAAAGTTAGTTTATTAAAATCTTGGTAGTGATCTGATTAAGACGTTTTGATTCTAATACTTCAAAATGCCGACATTTCTTTTCCTTATAACGACAATTATATTACACACCAGTTAACAGTATGTGTGGTACATTTGGAACTGTCATGTGGTGGCGCTTGTCAGGGAATAAGACGGAAACAAATAAAGCGTCCACGTCAGAGATACCATAACCAGTACCGAGCTTGGTGCAGTCAAAGAGCAGGCCTCTGTTTCCAAAGCTGCAAAACAAAAAGGAAGTTAGCAATAAACGTTGGGAATTAATGAATTCTGGAGATGGTTTCAGATGAATGAAGAATGACACAACTAGTAACACTGTACAATATTTAGGACAACTTCTAACTAACCCAATGACGTCAATAAATTCATAGTCTGACGAGGTCGCGTGAGTTGCGCCCTCAGTGGTGCTCCAAACTTTAGTGAGGTCTGATGCCGTTTGGCCGGCGTGGGCGCTACTACGCCTACATGCCAGGCTAACAAAGTCATGGCGTCACTTTATAATTAGCATAACTATTCGACAGAGGGCAGTCATGTTAAAGCTACTTATATTAAAGCCGGAAGGTCGTCGCCTGTGCACGCGCGGGAATTGAGTCCCAAGCGACGATAACAACGCACGCTAAACACGCATGGGTAGACGCTTGTTTGTAAACATTGACACGCTTTGGCCATCTGACGCATGCGCAGGTGACGACTCACCCGCTTTAATATGAGTAGTACATATTGAACATGACTGCCCTGCAAGGCAGAATTTGATACGTCTAAAAAAACGTCAACAAATAAGCTTCTCTCTGATTGGTTTGATTGTTAGATGTTATGTTTGCGTAGCCAATCAGGCTAAATCTTGTAAGTAGTTTCGTATTGGCTCTGAAAAGCAAGTACAAAACATACCATATATCCTTATGCGTTTAGATTCCTGTAGAACATCGCCCCCGACTTGGAAAAATACAGTACATTCGTAGTTACCGATGTCGTCATCACTTGGATCCAAAATAATAAGACTGTTGTTGCTAAGCACCTGAACATCATCTTTCCCATCCATATTAACATCATGTAGACCCAATTCTTTAAGAGAGTCCGCACCGTTTTTGTTCCAAATGACAGGACTGTTTGTAGATACAAGACATGTTAGCACCATGCTTACTCCGGGCGTAATGATCTGGTCATCAGTTGCCGTGATGTTAGGACCTAGGAGTAAAAACAATGGCTGTCATTATTTGCCACGTAAACAGTTTCAGTGCCATTAATGTAGTGACGACATCTATGTTCATGTTTGCATGTCCATTTTATGTGTATTACATTAGACAAGCATCGAGTTAAGTTATGCTCTTTAGTGTGAAAACGTTTTAATTTAATTAAACTGTTTTGTTTGTTTGTTTTTAGAAAACAGTAAAATAATATGCATAAAATGCCTAGTAGTGGTTTCCATAGACCAACATGAAAACACATTTCCCCGCTAAAAAAAAAAAACACATTAAAATATTGTCAATACTTCTAGACTTCAAATAGTACCCTGTAGGACAATATATATCTTTTTTTGACTATAAGTTACCGAGAAAAAAATGAGACATGGAGACATATTCTTGCTATAGGTAACAAAAGTAAAGGTACAAAAGTGCCGTAACCCGATATTTTCTTCATCTAGGTCCCAGCAAGGGAGATAATATTATCCCCCGAGTTGTTCTAATAACAGACATAGTAATACGTAGTTATATAGTAATTTTCAAAATGTTCGTAATTTGAATTATTATTACATTTTCTACTGGTGAAGTGAAATATCCATGGTCATAATAATTCCATGTTGCTAGAAAACGCTGTTGTAAGTTGAACATATCAAATAGGTAAAAATATGTAGCGTTCTACCCTGAAGCGCTACAGTCGTCGCGCAGCGCATGTTCAAATTGTGTGTGAAAAATATTACCAGAATACCGCCAGATAATTTACACGTACGTCTCGAACAGGACGCGGTGTGCCGGGCGGTGTGACAACTGTAGTTATTTTACTTACGTGTATACACGTTGATGCTTGCATCCATTGTCAGAGAAGATCCAAAATCTTCACACGTGTACGTGCCGGTGTCACGCAGCTG